TCCTTGAGGTCATTACAGCCACACCTAGGGAACAAAATTTCATTGAAAGTTCCTCCTTTCTTTGCCGTCAGCATCTACAATTAGGTGGCCTTAGGCCCTGAGAGCCTCTTGAGCTTTCCCTTCATTTCATCAATGAGCAGCTTCCTAGGCATGGGTTAAAGAGCAGGCTGCTGCCTGCATACAGAAGTTACTGTGGAAACATCAATATGCCAGACAGTCTGGAGGAACTACAATCAGCCACCTCTCCTGACAGTCCCCACCACTTTGTCCCACAGAACCCACCACCCCAGCTACTTCTAACACTGGTTGAAGCTGCTCTCCTTGAAGATACTCAGTAAGGTACATATCTATAACAAACAAGGCAGCAGTATATCTAAGTGGGATGCCAATAAATTGCGCCTGGTGAAGATCTATGTGTCACAATTTACAGAAAGAGACAAGGCTAAACTAGCAATACTGAGAGAACCAGCACCCACGGGGAGCAGCATGGCTGTTCCTAGCCTTCACTGAGATACCATTAAGCAAATGGATTCACTGGAGCAGATCAGGAGTCCTCCTCAGTGAGGAAGGGACACATGGAAATACTGCTGTGTGGGAATGTCCCATTACAGCTGCAAAGTGGATGCAGTAAAAGCAAGAAGAGGAGTTGGAAGGGACATGGAAAACACCAGTGGTCTGTGTGAAGGACTCAGAAACATGGGAAAGGAGGCCTAGGGTCATGGCTGAAGGAGGGGGCCTGGAGTTAGGGTGGCAGAGGTATTTCATGTCTGTAACTTTGTCATCCATGTTTGGAAATATATGGGCCACATGATCTAATTTAATTTCCCATATTTGTATTGTTGAACAAATGATAGGCCATGTCAGGGTGCACTGAAACACACCCCACATACTCCTGTAGTAAACAGATTACTAGAATAGTGAGGTGCCTCCTAAAGCCTGCAAAATTGGTGCTTCTACTACAGCTCACATATTTAGACTGACTGCTCAGTTGTGTGCGATTCTACTCATTTTCTGTGGAGGGAATTAGCTTATCACTCCTCAGAATCAACACAACATTTACCAGTATTTATATGTGAATTCTGGAGTTCACAACATTTAAGAGATTTTGTATAAATGTATCTGCAGGAAGCAGAATTGAAGGTCTGTCACTGGATCAACCTGTCAATATTGGCAAGTCCTAAGAGACACTAAATGCACTGTAATTGCTCCTGAAGGACATAAAAACATTTCAGGGATTGATTCAGCTGCTCACAAGCAGATATCTGGTGCCATTCCATGCATTCAAGTAGGCATCAAAAAGTAATTTAGATGTGGTGCCTAGGGATATGGTTTAGTGGTAGACATGGCAGTGCTGGGTTAACAGTTGGACTTGAGGATCTTAAAGGTCTTTTCCAACCAAAAGATTCTAAGGTTCTATGGGTTTGTGTGCTGGTTTGGTTTAGTGGGTTTTTTGGTAGCAAGGGAAGGGCCCCAGGAGTGGCTGGGAAGCTCCCCCTGCTCCACCCCCAGCCAAGGAGCCATTAGAGGGACAAGAGACTTGCCTCAGGGATTAACATATGAAAGAACTGCGATAAAACCTAAGCACTTAGTAGAAAGGGAAAGAAGAGCTGAGCTGGAGAGGTGACAGGCAGTGCTGGGGTGAAGATCCTTGTGGCTGGCAAGGAAAAAGGGGAAGAAGGTGCCCACGCAGAAGTTTCCCTGCAACCCATGACAAGATGGCAGCTGTGCCCCTGCACTCGTGGAGGAACGTGGTGGAACATTCCCTGAAGGCACCAGGAGGGGTGAACTTGGCCAGTGGACTTGGATTTTGTGGCCAGAGGATTTGCTGCCAGTGGAGTCTGATTGTGCAGCTGTGGAAGACCCCGGGGCCAGGGGAGTTTGTTCCCAAAGCAGCCGTGACTCTGTGGGAAGCCCAGGCTGGAGCAGCTCCGGACCTCGTGGGAAGGACTCAGGAAGGAGAGGTTCGTGGAGGACTCTCTCCCATGTAAGGGACCCCGTGGAGAAGCAGGGGAGGACTGTAAGGAATCCTTCTTCCTGAGGAGGAAGGAGCAGCAGGAACCACCAGCCCGTGAACTGACTCTAAACCCCATCCCCTGTCCCCCTGTGCTGCTGGGGGGAAGGAGGGAGAGAAACCGGGAACAGAGGGATTTGGGCCCGGGAAGAAGGGAGGAGTAGGCGTAGGTGCTTAAGCACTGCTCTAAGTGTTGTCTGTGTCCTGTGTGCATCTGATTAGTGTGAAAGTAAATTATTATTTTTTCCTCAAGTTAAGTCTGTTTTGCCTGGGACCTTAACTGGTGAAGAACCCTCCTTGTCCTTTGTCTTGACCATGAGATTCTAGTTGGCCTTGTCCTCCTCATCCCAGAGTGTGTGTGAGGGGGGAAGTTGAGTGAGCGGCCAGGTGGCTGTTTCTTTGTTGTTGTTTTAGGCCCAAACCACGACAGTCTGTAAAACCTTCAGGTGGGATTGATGGAGAGGACACAAAGAGGTTACTCTGCTTTTCCATAGCAGCACTTGGAGACCAGACAAGATGCATCAAAAGAGCACAAGGTACCTTCATTTAGTAGATAACTGAGCTGTCAAGGGTATGTAGTAATTGGATAGATGGGAATTTTGTACCTATTGGCTTTAATCATCAAACTCAAACCACAACAGGTGTTTTAGAAGGATGCAAAGATGATCTAACCCTCCAACAAATGCTTAGTTTGATTGCAAAGAGAGCTTTTAAAGACAGTGCCTAGCAGGCTGCAGCCTCTTGTGGCCCACAAGGCTCGGAGAGCAACGCCAGCATCTTCATTAAGTGCTTCACCATGAAGACACTGTACCTTGCAAAGGTAAAAAACTTACAGTGCCTGACCTGCTGCTGTTTTGCAGAGGTCTTTCTGTACTTAACTTTAATAACTTTAAAAGTGCAAAGTGCAAGTCTAGCATCAACCACTTAATAATAGCTTGTCTTGTCCCTCTACTGCCCTCTCCTCTGAATGCTGTTTAAAAGCAGTGTCTATAATATCAATATTTAACCACGAGGCTTGCTTAGTCTCACAAGGATGGGGATTGCTGTACACATGGGCTAAATCACAGTGCCTAGACAGCTGATAATAATGAAAGCATCTTTCAAGATGAGGCAGTTGATTGCTACTCTAAAGCTTATTGGTGAAAGGAATGTGTAATCTATTTTTTTTTATTGCATTTCAAATGAAAGAGCTTGTTTAAATATTAGTCATCTGGATTTATATAGCTCATTTTTAGAACTGGGTTAGCACCTGGCAATCCAGCCTGAGTAAGCATCAGGCTATCCCAGTCGCAGGCCCATTTGTTTTCTCTTTCCTCTTTTTGCAATGTGTGGCTGACTTCTTTTTTCCATTATATGATTTCCTTCCCACTTCACAGGAGACAAATCCTGCCCCCAGACCAGGTGCCTGGGGGCAGCCCAAGGAGGGGGGACAGCCTGGCAGCACTGCCCTCCTCCTGGCACCACAGGGCAGCTGAGCTGACCCCTGTGCCAACACTGCTCTCTCACTTCACTGTAGGGAACAGCAGCTCCCTCAGGGCAACAGGGTACCCCACGCACAAGAAAACAAAGTGGCAAAGTGCTTTATTTTCTGACTGTGAAACAAAGATCAAAGGAATTTTCAGTATTACTGTCCATGACATTTTCCTGAACATTGAAAGAGATTTATCCTGCTATTAAAAGCCCTCCCCTCTGCTTTCCAGACTGTCTTTGTACTTTCTTTCCCAAGTGCTACTCTTTTTTTCTCTTTTTTTCGATTTTTCTTTTTCCCTGTCTTTGCCTTACATTTCTGCAATGTGGCCCAAATAGAAAGCCTGCTCCTGGCAGAAAATACACTGCAAAATTCTGCCTGTCCTCTGCCTGGGTAAAAGCTGTGCAGAAGCTTTTCTTGTCTCTTCTGCACATCTGGGGATGGCACTGATAAAAACAAACAGACAAATGATGCAACCTAATGATTTCTTTTCCCTTAGGGGAAGTGCTGAGAAGGATAATAGAGATACTTTGCAATGCTGTTCCCAGGGGATTTTATCTAAGCAGGGAGAAGAATTAGTAGGCAGCCTTTTAGGGAGAGACACATTTGCAAGAATTTAGAAGTGTTAAGTAGGTTTGCTGGGATACCAAATACCTGGGACCTAAAAGTGTCTGTGCAGGGTCCAGCCCATGTACCTGCACCTAGCCAGCACAAGTAGAGCCAGCAAGTTCTGTCCCACTGTGGTGGGACTGCCTCTCTGGGGACCTCCAGCACAGCTAGTGCTCTTCAGAAATGATCTGTGTGTCAGAGATCCCAGGAATACCGATGAGGACGGAAGCTGGCAAAGCTAGCCAGCAGGCACTAGGTGTGCCGGACCCAGGGATGCACGGCTGGAAATCAGAAGGAGCTCAGATGGGCTGGCTGAGGCCTGGGAGAACTGATTTATATGAGAAAAAATAGAAGTCTTTGTGTGTTCATTAGAGGGAACTTGCCACTGACTCCTGACACACCTCTGACTTTTCTTACAGTAGAAAGCTGTTTAAAATCAGTGAACCTGACTCAATGCTATGGTGAACCAGCAAAGCTGTAGTGTCGAACACACCCAAACCTGCAGAATGGTTGAATTTTTGCCTGCTTATAAATTAATTGTTCTTAGAGCACCCAGACCTCCAAGCTGCCCAACGGTGAAACAGGAAGTCATATACCCCAAGGGGAAGTACAGTGCTATGTCTATGTAGGAAAGCACTTCCCAGGGCTAGGGCATTAGGGAACCACTTAAAGCTAGGGAGTCATATATCATACAATGAAAGGAGGGAATTTCTCTGGCTTTCCTCCAAAAGCTGAGCATTATTCATTGATCAGAAAACAGATCTCCACCTCTACTGAGAACACTTTTGCTTCCATTATATGTGGAAAACGACAAATGAGCTAACTGTGCCCTCTTCTAGATCCTTTCTCCTTCTGTCTGTCCAGGCATCCCTGTTGCTTTGCCCTCCCAGACCCGTACCAGCAGCTACTTACTTGGCACCACCTGCAACCTCGGGGGTGGTGGAGGTGGAGGAGGTGGTGGTAACGGCGGAGGTGGCCTGCACTGGCAAATTTCCTGGCAGCTCTCTGTGACTTCGTCTGCTACAGGCTTGGAGCATGACTTCTGGGGCTCACCCTGAGTGATCTGTGAAGAAACAAGTCATTGCATGAGCAGCAGAAACAATGAAAACTGATTTTCCATTAATGCATTTCTTGGACTTGAGGACCTGAATGGCACTTTAGACTAGTGAGAATTGAGCTTGAGTTCCTCAGTAAGGCCACTACAGGGAAGCCCTTTCCCTAAATGGTCCCCAGTGTTTTATTTTTTATTTAACACAATATCTTCAAGAACACTTTCCCTCTGTCAAGTTTGGTTGAAACTGGCTGGTAGGTTTCTGAGTTATTATGGGGAAAGAAAAAGGCGGGTAGTGGCACACAATATGATTGCATAAGGCTTCTTTCCTTAGGAAAGCCATCTAGCAGCATGCATTATTCACAGGGTCATTGCTGCAAGCCAAAAGGAGCTAATAAAAATTACAAGCTAGTTAGGGTCGGGATTATCTTCATTTTCCTTATGGCAGAACTGAAAGCCAGAGGAGATCTCTTCTTTGTTTTTTGAGCTTCCTTTTGATGTTTAGAGAGCATTTCAGGAAGGGTTTTCACTTCCCACCAAGAGGAGAAGGAGCCCAGATTTTACTCACTTGCTGACCACATCAGTGACATGGTCAAAATGGAAATGCTACAGGCTATGACTGGTAGCTTTCGTAACAGGCAGCATCAGCTATTAATAAAGCTGAAGGTGGGACAGTGCAGAACTCAAGTGTAGGCATCACTTGACCATGGACAATGATTTAGCCAGTATTAGCATAAAATAAATTCAATAGCTTGATCTAGTCATGACAAGGACCATTTATTAACAGCATTTTTTTTTTTCCCCATCAGTTACATCAGTAGAGATTTAAGGAATTTAAGGAAGGAAAGTAAAATCTCAAATCTAATGCTTTGAAATGAAGAAGACTAAGTCCCTAATGAAAAGAAAATTTGCTGAACATCTCAGGAGTTTCTGAGAGGTGTCAACTTCACAGGTCTCTAAGCCAGCTCTTTTTGATATTTATATGGAAAATACTGGATGCAATTTTAAGGAAACAAAGCCTAAAAGAGAAATAATCTTGTTATATAAGGAACACTTTAAATGTAGGATTGGGAGACCATCTGGGACAGACCTGTGTCTTACAGAAGGGTAGTTATGCTAACATTAAATCATTCCCTTGTACAGTTGGGTCTTGGACAGGTTACTGCTCTAATAGTTCTGGCCTAACATAATCTTTAACTAGCTCTTTTGTACAATATCTTGTTCATTACAAAGAGGATACCTTGTACCATGCTTTCTGACCTGTTTTAGGTGAGCCTCTTCTGTCTCTGCCTATCCCAAGAGTCACCCAGAGTTGTCATCTCCCCCCTCCTCTCTCCTGCCCAAGCTTTGCCTCCCTTCTCCTGCCAGTTCCAGACACAGTCTGTCTCCTCTCCCCTTTCAACCCTTGCCCACAGCCCAGCCAGAGAGCCTTTCCCACCACCCACAGCTGGGCACCAGGGGTGCTGAGCAGCAGGAAAGCCGCACACAGTCATTTCATGTATTTCTGGCCAAAAGGAAAGACGTGGCTAATTAAAACAACATCACTGCACAAAGGACATGTTCACATGCGTAGGAGGTTTCTAAATGCAGAAAGATGCATTACTCTGGCCTCAGGGAAATGGAGGTAGGTCTTTGTTGATTAAATACTATAGAGAGGGAGGGAAAGAATAGAAAAGGCTATGCACAGCTGAGTTGGAAGGACAGCTTAGCACAGTACAAGTCAGAAGGCTCTGTTCTTTAAACAGCTTGTCAAAATCTATTACCAAGCACAGGGAAAAACAAATTCAGTACAAGCGCTTTCCAACTTTCCCCTTCACCATCAGGTAACAGTAAGAGGATGGTTAAAGACCATCCTAGACAGCTTCCAGGAACTTACACAAACTCTTGGAATGCTCTAATAAATCAAAGTGACTTGGCTTCGTAATCCCTCATGACTGGTAATAAATCTGTCTGCTAAGCAGGCTTATTTATTTTTCAAGTGATGGCAGGCAGCAGAATATCCTCAATCCTGTTCCAGCTCCTCCAACACTCTTCACAGGCTGGGTTGGGATGTTAGAGATTGTCCCAAGAGAAGCCCTGTAGGAAAAGTGCCCACTCTGTGTGCTGCTGCCACTGCCACACCTGGGGTGCCTCCTGCTTGTGGGACAACACTGACTGCACTGAGAGAGGAGGCAGGGCAACGTCTCTCCACTGGCCCCAGCACATAATTAGGAAGGAACTATTAACTCCTAGCTACAATTACCATCTCCTGCCTGTTTCTTAGGTTAGAATCCTACAGCTCACTAGTCTCGTGGGAGCTGGTGCAATGGGAGAGGACAGAGACAGGGAGGAGTAACACTGAGCAGACTTGGAGGCAGCTTCATTTGCAGACCAGAAGCAGCTTTGTGTATATAAGTCTGAAGATGGTGCTGGTATGGAAAAGCTACATTGACTTATTGCTCTAACTTAATATCAAGCAGAACCAAAGGCTTGTTCTGCCTTTTTTTTTAGAACTATTAACTGCTTTTAAATCCCTGGAGACTCTCCTACCTTAGGTTGATAACAGTGTGTCCTCAAAAACCAGTAGATATTCTTCTCAATTACTTTACAGGCAAGATTAACCCTAAACATGCCCAGCCACTTTCTGCTCCCCTGTACTTTTAAAATAGTATTTCTGGAACAAAAAGTTGCTCTGTTTATCAGTACCTTAGTCTGAACCTTTATAAAAGTTTCCCAAAATAATTCTTAAATGGTCGGGAAAGAACTGACGTTTAAAACACAGGCTTTATAATCTATTTGTTTCCCTTCTCTTGTCACTCAGCAAAATGTCTGGTTGATACCTGTAGGAACACAAATATTACCTTGCCAGTGGTTTGTCTTAGAGGGTTAGTTTGAAATAAAAAAGGTATCCTAATATGGCTGAAATCTGGCACGAAAAGGAAAGACCTGAATTGAGGTTGAGTGCCTTGAGGAGGAGAGAAATAGTCAAGAACCGCTGCAAGGAGGTTAACTAACAGTAGCAAAATAGAATTAAGAAAAGAAGAAGAGACATTTGGCTCCTTTTCAAGAAAAAAAAAAAATCCCACTGTTGATGTCTATTAGTCTTCATATGAAAGGAATGAAGGCTATTACTTGTGTCTTCTAAAGGTAAGCAGAACAAATCACTAGAAAATATGCTTTAGGGAACAATCTTGCTCTGGCAGAAGACGATGCAATAAATTACTCCATGTTTGTTTCTTACTGTCTGCAATTCAAGGTAAGCTGCCTTTACAGAAGATGGCAGGATAAATAGTCATGTTAAAAGTCTAATCTTTCTCTGGCAGGGTATGCAAATTCAAGCCTGGCCTCAAACTTTACTGCTTATTTATTCTTGTTTATTCTTGTTTGTACTACCATGGCCCCAGAATGGCTTGGGAAACACTTTGCAGATAATGACTAACCAGGAACCTGCTGGGCTGCCAGGCAGTTTGTAGCACAGATGTTGCTTTGCCAGGGGGTTCTCTCCAGAGGTAGACCACACAGGTCTTGCTCCCTAGTTCTTGGCTTTTGCACCTTTCAGACATTCCTCCAGGTGCTGGATGTGCCATGAAAATATGTCTCTGGCCTGTCAAAAACTTGGTTGCTTGTTTGGCATGAGACATACTTAACACACTCAGCAGCTGGCCAGTTTGGATATATACGTTGCCTGGACTTCAATATGATGCATTTTTGCCCTGTTCTGAAAATAAACAGACTTGACTTTATGGATTTGTGCATTTGATATGAACATGCTTTGCAAAAAGGAAAATGTTTTAAAATATTAATGGAAATTGAAATCTGATCCACAAAAGTCCAGGGAAAAGCAAATATAAAGTGGTAACTGATGGTTTCCTTTTGCAGGCTCTCTGTTGAAGTTTGTGCCTGTGATGTATTTCTTTTCAATCTGAGACTTCCTTCAGAAACAGTGGTCCCTGTACTATGCATAGAGTGGAAGAACAAATCTGCATGTGGTCAGAACTGTTTAGTATTTCAGTAAAGCTCCATGGGGTTGCAGCAGTCCACAAGCATGCTCTACAGAGTGGGATGGAATAAAAGGATTAATACCGTCCCCAGAGGGTGGCCCTCTTAGGACTTCTTGAATCAGGTAAAAAGAGGAAAGCTTGAAAAGAGAAGTGCACTTGACTGAAAAGGCACCGAAACCTCTAAAAGCCTCCTGATGTGGCAAGAGTTTTGTCTCTTGGAAGCAGTCTACAGATACAAGATCTCAACAACTCTGCGTCAATCCCAGGACAGCTCTGCATAACTCACATCAGAGTTAATCCAGATGCATGTTTATGAAACCAGAAAAAACGAGACCCTGCTATTTATCATGACACTTAGTGCTCTTTGTTTTAATTATGTCAAAAGCCTCAGACAGGATCATCCTTTCCTTCTTGTCACAAAGCTGGTTACAGTGCTAATAACAAAAGATCGTGGGCTTGTTTTGTTTTTGTTTTGTGGGTTGTTTGTTTAGGGTTTTTGTTTTGATTTGTGTTGTTTTGTTTTTGTTTTGTTTGTTTGTTTGTTTTTAAATAAGAGAAATGCTTCTCCTCTGATTAGCATCTGACTGATTTTCTTAAGTGCCTCAAGGCAGGGCCTGAAGAGGAAATGCAAAGAAGTTGGAGGGAAGCTCATGCCACACTGAAGTCATCACATGAGTGAATGGGCAAAGAGGGGCTAGGAGAAAAGATGTGAAAAAACACAAGGGCTGCTGTAGATGGATCAGGTGAGTGACACAATTGGACATTACTGAATTAGTCGAGGAGAGTATGACTTGTGAGACTTTCAAGGTAAGAGCAAGGATTATGACACAACATGCGGAAGGGAGTAACGGGAGGGAGTTCAGTCACAGAAGACTGGCATGCTGGTGACCCCTCCACCCCTGCCCTTCCCACTGCGATCTGCTGAGTTTTGGGAGAGCTGGGAAAAAGCTTGAGTATGAGCAGATTTATTGATTGTCCTTACACAGAACAGCAGGCTATAGCACAAGTATAGATGAAGAATGGGACAATAAA